TACTGGAGCAGAAGCTGCATTGTACCAAGACCCCCAGGTCACCCATGTGCCCATGACAGTACGAGAAGCCCTACTCCTGACTGCTTCCAACTCACTCCAGCTAACCTGCTGCCACCATGGAGGACTGCTGTCCCAACATACTGGAATCGTAAACGTCTCCAATACACCTTTCACTTTTCCAGTTCTGAGCGCTGGTTCATGTCAGCCCTTCCATCTTGAAGATGCTTCCCCCTGTGCTCACTTAGAAAATCTCACCGACACTTAAGACACTACCCAAATACTACTCCTCCAGGGAGCCCCTCCTACCATTCCCTTCCTTTGCCAGAGGTTAGAACTTTGACTGCAGTTGGTTTCATCACCCATGGAGTGCTTTCCACTTTCTGTCTTGTGTATTTACCAAAGAGCGGTATTATGTAGTGGTTTACAGGACTTCCTAGGTTCAAATCTATGCCCCACTGCTTCCTACCTGTGGCACTCAGCAAGTGCTTAACCCATGTGGGTCTCAATTCCTTCACCTATAAAATGGGTATAATAATTATACATACTCAATCCTACTTGTAAGGACTTTTTAAATATATTTATTGCATACCGATATGCCAAGCAGTGGCATATAGTATCTGCTCAATAAATGATTGTCGACTGAATGCAATGATCCAAAAAACAGTGTTTTTAATCACAGAGGAAATAAGATACTATCCATAAACATCACAGCTTATCCAACCTAGTACAGTCTTCCCAAGGCTGATGGATGGTTTTGGGTCCCTTTTCCTAGAACCATAATTGGTTTTTTTAAAAGAATCAATACCTGTTGTTGTTGTTGTCTTTCTAATAATCACTGGTTAAAAGTCCTGCTTCCTCAATTTTGTTTCCATGCTGTCCCCTTTTGGGTTCTCTCTGCTGTAATCCCTGGTTCTCCTCTGAAAACTTAAAATTTTCTTTCAGTATCTTTCCAAATATTTTAACTGGTCATAAGTATTTATTTTATTTTCAACTTCTTTTATAATTTAATCAACCATATCATTAACATTCTTTTGACTCCCCCAAATTGTTTCTTAAAACTCTTATTCTATGTTTTTATCTCCAAGGAAATACTTTGGCAGGGTTTTCTACCAGGAATGACACATTCTTTCCACAGCTACGCAGAGGGGGAAATTGAAAACCAACAGAGTCACATTGCCTTGATCCTATACCCAAAGAATTCCTCATATGCACAAGTCTCCAACTCCCCACTGGCCATATTTCTCAATGCTCTCAATTCTCTACCAAAAATGTTCTTTCTGGTTAAATCCTAATGGAAAGTGAAATGAATACCATGAAAAGAAGCTCATTCAAGATGGGGGTCATTCCCGAGTGCAGTTGCCTGGGATTACGGCAGTTCCTGATACGAAATATCAGACCCAATTATGGAATTTTTTATTTCAATCAATAAGCATTTTTAATTTCCTTTCAGAGTCCCATAGAGTGACCTGGTTTGATTTAGATGTAATGCAAGTATCATCTGTCTCCCATGGTGTGTCTATGTTCATGTCTCAATCTTCTTTTTATTATCTGGGGGCAACATATTGATCAGTGCAACCAAGTTCTTTACACTCCAATGGAAAAAGAGTTTCCCTCTTCTTGCCACTCTCACCATAGCTTAAAGAAGGGAGAAAAGGGCCCATTAAAGCCACTCGTTTGAGATTTCAAGGAACTGGGGAGAAATGGGACCTCGGGCAAGTGGGAATGTGATCTACATGGGAAATCACTGCAAAGATACCTGCCCCTCCACAGGTCATTGTGTCCGAGGCTCCTGGAGGTGCAGCCCTGCGGGAGTGGCTTCTTATTGGAAAATGCGGCAAACAAACATAGCACCAGCAGAGACAGATGGCTCTGTCTGTGCAAAAAGGACAATCGGTGCACTTTCAAGCCCAGGGGATGGGAGCAAGGCTTACAATTTGAGCTACATGTCTGGAAACTCAATATTGCCCAGAGCATCAATTACCTCACAGACTCTGCTGCTGGGAGGGCAGGAGATGCAGGGCAGGTCTCTGACATGAAACTCTCTGTGCACCTTTTAACTAACGCTAAGAAATGTGCACCAGATCTCCTAGAAAGGGAGATTGTTCTGCCTGGTTGAAGGACACAGGAGTCATCAAGATAGGAATTTGAGTATGACAAAAATATCAAGAGGTTCCCATGTCTGCCTTAGCCTGGGGAATTAAACAGCAGTGGGTTTACTTGGGGATGGGCCATTTCTCCACACCAAATTCCTGATCAGGACCTCTTTTCCAAAGAGCATCATAAGAACTTCACCTGCCCTGCCTGCTGCTAAGGTATCAAACGTCTTTGGTACTCAAGCATCAAAGTGTGAGGAACCGTCTCATCTTGATTCTATACAGGTTGGTAATTCCAGGTACCTGGCTGTTACAGAATCTGAGTGTGAACTCTCTCCAGTCGCTCTGAGCCTGCCGCTAGACAAACTCTCTCCAAGACTTCATTCAGGTCTTCTCCACCAGCATTTAGTATGGGCCTACCAATAGTCTTGACACTACTCTAGGCACCTGGGATACAAACAGTCAAGACATGGTGACTACCTTCAATGGGTTTCTTTTCTAGTAGAGAATGCAGATGTGTGAATTAATAACAATAGCAGCTACTATTTATTGAACCCTTACCATAAGCTTTTTTTTAAATTTTTTTAAATTTATTTTTGACAAATAAAAATTGTCTATATTTAAAGTATACAATGTGATGCTTTGATATATGTATGATTTGTGAAATGATTACCACAATCAAACTAGCTAATGTTTCCATCACCTCCCATAGTTAAACATTTTATGTGCGTGTGTAGTGAGAACACTTGAGATTTATTCTCCTAGCGAATTTCAAGTATATACTGCATTACTATTAACTACAGTCACCATGCTTTACATTAGGTTTCCAGAACTTGCTCATAACTGAAAGTTTGTACACTTTGATCAATATCTCCACTGTTCCCCAACTCCCTAGCCTCTGGTAACCACCATTCTACTCTCTGTTACCATGAGTTCAACTTTTTTATTTTTAGATTCCACATATAAGTGAGATCATGCAATATTTGTCTGTGTCTGGCTTATTTTACTTAGCATAATGTCCTTCAGGTTCATGTATGTTGTTTCAGATGGCATGATTTCCTTCTTTTTTAAGACTGTATAATACTCCATTATATGTATGTTATATGTAAGGCTGAATAATATTCCATTTTATATATATACATAGATATATCACATTTCTTTATCCATCAATCTGTCAATGGATACTTTGTTTCCACCTTATGATATGATATGCTTTCGACAAACATGAGGCTGGGTACTTGCGACAGCCAGCCTCCAGGATTGCCCCCAAAGATCCTCACCTCCTGGTATTCATGTCCTTGTGTACTCCCCTTCTACACTGAGCAGGACTGACATGTGTAACTGATAGAATTCATAGAAAAAATGGTGTGTGACTTCTGAGGCTAGGCCGTAAGTGCTATTGCATCTTCCATCTCGTATCAGTCACCCTAGAGAGAATCAGCTGCCGTATAGTAAAGACATTCAAGAAGCCCTATGGGGAGGTCCATGTGGAGAAGAACTGAGGCCTCCCGCCAATAACTAGTGAGCAGCTGAAATCTTCTGCCAACAGCCATCTTGGAAACAGAGCCTCCAACTTAAAACAAGCCTTCAGATGACTGCAACCTCATAAGAAACATCAAGCCAGAGTCACTCAGCCAAGCCATTCCCAAATTCCTGACCCGCAGAAACTGTGTGAGATAGTGTTTATTATTGGTTTAAGCCACTAAATTTGGGGTAATTTGTTATGCAGCAGCAGATAGCTAATACAGTGCTTTGTGCTCATTATCTACTGAATCCTCACACCAGTCCTGTTGAGTATTTATTCTTGTCCCAACTTTACAGATGAGGAAACTGCAACTTACAGAGGTTAAAATAAGATGCAAAGTCAGAGCTAAAATCTAACTCTACTGGACTTCAAAGCCTGTGTTCTTTCCTCTGTACAATCAAGTGTTCTCAGTGCAAATGTATTCTGGGGACATCTAGACAGGGAACAAAAAGTCTCAGTGGGAGAAGTAGTTCTACCTGGAATGAGACATGGGGAAGAGGCAGGCAAGACTTGTTAGAGTACGTAAGACTTGCAACGGAAATGGAGGATGAGATGTTGACCAGGTAGAGACACAAGGAGACGGCTCCCACAGGGAACAGCATTAGCAAAGGCATGGAGTCTCAGCCTGGGGTGTTCAGAACTTGCCTGGAGTTTCTAGATCTAGAAAATCAAGGCCTTGTGGCTGGTTCTCCAGGGGAAAATCTTGGTTCTAGTGCAAGACCTGCTCTTGCAGTCACAGGAGCCCCCAGATCGCCAAAACGAGTGCCTTTTCCACAAACTGCTGTCACAGTCCCTGCTTTTGATTAACTCAAATCCTCTTAGGTTCCCATTTCTTCCCTTGGTCAGTTCTCTTTTATAGACCCAGCTCCCTGGCATGTTTGAAACATGTACCACTTACTTCTTCCTGGCAAGAAACACTTGCTCCTTACAAAACTGTAGTTTTGACTTTCATTCATAATATATCTCTTGTCTACTGCAAAATATCGCATGAACCTTACTTCCTTCTTTAAGGGTTACTGGAATGACAAATCAGAAAGATTCAGGGGACCAAGTGTACTGGATCTCAGAAAGGCGCATCTCTTTTCTCATGGTAACCTTCTGGATACATCGGTGGATTATAAATCAGAGGACCACAATACGGGAGATTAGTAGCTGGTTTAACAACCACATCCAAAGGATACTGACCCTGGATTGATGTCCAGTTCTAGAAGACAATCTATACTCATGTGACTGATGGCTCTGCCCACAGCCCTCTCCCAGGCAACATCTTTTAAATCAATAACTTGAATGAAGATATAGAAAGCAGACTTATCACACTTTCTAATGGCTGAAACGCGGACCATTGGTAAATAGGTGGGATAGCAGAAATGAAAACTGCGTACCTCTCCAAAGACCAGCATAGGTCAACTCTACCAAGAGGAATTTCACCCGAAATGAAAGGTCCTTTACTTGGGTTCCAAAAGCCACTGCACAAATACACAATGGAGATCTCTGGCTCAGCGGTAACTGTAAAAGGGAAAAACATTGAAGAGTGTTAGCCAATGCTGAGATAACTAAGGAGCAAAGATAGAGCTGCGCGGATCTGGCTTTCTGTGGAGGAGGGAAGAGGAGGGGCAGTTTAACTCGGAAGGGTTACTCCCGAGATTCTGCAGCCCTCACCACCCCAGGGCTGTATTTAGTAACTCCCACTCTACTCCATTAAATGTGTTTGGGTTCCCAGACCCTACCCACCACCCTGCCCCCAGCCTGAGCCTCGAGCCCTTAGAAGGTAAAGAGAAACGCTGAGAGCTTGGAGTCTGGGAAGAGCTTGGAAACTAAAGCTCTCTGAGCCTCTCCCCGCTTGGCCCTTACCCCTGCTGATAAGGATGGAGAGAAGCTGGCTGACAAGTGATTGGAAACAGGAGTTCCCAAACCCTTTAACCCTTCCCTAGCCTGCCCGTGCGCCTGGAGTCTCGAAACGCTGAGGCCCAGCTCCCTGGGGCTTCCTATCCGTACCAGGACTCTCTGACTCTCCCCACCAACCTTTCCATCTTCCTCTCCCTTTACCTGACAGGTCAATGAATGCTGTTCTACCGGGAGAACAGTTGCTACCACCACCAAATGCTAAAATGCAGCCCCTCCACCTTCGGGCCGCCCTGATAAGTCGGCCAAGGAGTCCCCCTCGGGTCTAGATTACCCACCCCCCATACCCACCCCCACCCAGCACACTTGGCCACCACACCCCTGCCAGCCAGGTCAGGAGCCTGCCAGGTGAGTGTCGGTCCTGTCTAGTGTTTGGGGGTTCTGGGAGCAGAGACCCCAGGCCCAGTGCCCACAGCTTAATCCCAGCCCCGTTCTCTGTGGCCCTGGCCGGCCGTGGAGCCCTATGGGGACCTTCAGGGGTCACTCCCCCCAGCCCCGAAACCAGACTTGACTTTGCTGAGTCATCCCAAAGTCCCTCCACCCACCTAGAATTGCCTGCTGCGTGGACAGGCCTCCTCATAACGGAACAGATGACTAGGGGTCTGTCCTAGGCAGTAGTCGGCAGGACTGAAGCTGAGAGGGAAGCTACTCCCCACCCCTGCCCCGTGGCTTCCCCTGGGGAGGGGCATAAAGGATAAACCAGGTTTACTGGTCACAGTAATTAAAAGAGTTTCCTTCAGTAGAATGGAATTCAGATAAACTGCCATTATCATGCAAAGCAGCTTTGCACCTAAAAGCCCTTACCTAAACAAGCAGTTTAATTAAATCCCTAATCTCCTTTGGCCTGTCCTGACCCCTTACCTACTCCACTCCCTGCCCCCCCCCCCCCCCCCCCCCTCCACCGCACTGACTTGGGAACTTCAAGATTCCATTTAAAACACTTAACCTGTAAGCATGCAAAACATACTCAGAACCGGTGGTCTGGGTGTGGGTCCTCTTTGAGGTCCTGGTCTCTGTCTTAGGGTGTTAGTTTCCCGAGGTTCAGGTAGTCCTGATAGGGGTGCCGGGTGCCGAAGGCAAGGGTGACCATGGTGGTGACAATGAAGTGATGGGAGCAGGCATGGCCTTGAACAGAAGGATGTACGCATCGCACAGCCCTGCTGGCTCCTGTTCGTGCCCAGGAGGCTGATGCCCATGTAGGATCCACCCCACACAATGTAAAGTCAACCATCTCACCACCCACAGAAAGCGTGTAGCAGCCTTAACAGACTTGGATGTAAGGACCCTAGTGTTGAACCAGGAGAGGCAGGGATGGACGAATTGACCTGTCCACGTGTGTCCCCATTTGTGAGGCCACACTGACCGCTGCTGTGAAGTACAGGAGGGATGCCAAGCCTGTTAGTGAGAACCAAGTTCTCTGGAGAAAGGCTGAAGCAATGATTTGGAGCTCAGGTGACCTGCTGTAGGTACAGGCAGAGACTAGGAGGATAAAGGAAGAACAGAATGGAATGGGTTGAGGGGGAAAGGCTGGGGAGAAGCCTCCCCCAAGGGTGCTGATAGAGAACAACCCAGCAGAACCTTCTAACATCTCATGATGCTGTAGGAATTTGTGCCTTTGTGTAGGAAAAGAAGGAAAGGAAATCAAGTATCAGATACCAGGGGTCAGAGCATGTTATCTCTTCAATTTCAACCGTATAAGGTAAATCTTATTCTCTTCCCCCCACCCCCATGGGAGAAAACTGAGATGCAGGCTAGTGAGGAGTGTCGCCCAATGTCACACAGCTCGTGGTCAGCAGAAGCAGGATTCAAATGCTGGCCTGTCGATATGCTTTTTCTGCTAAACCACAGGTCAGCCGCTAGCATTATAATGTTGGAGGGGCATTAACCACCCAAGAATACTCATCGCCCTCCCTCCTGCAGTTAAGAACTTTTCCATCCTGAAACAACCCATTTCCTCTGAGAGAGGGAAGGTCTCAGCAGGAACGAGGGACTCAGCTCTCAGCCCTGAGGAGGCAGCAGCACAAGGGAGCTGGGCTGGGAGGGGGCTTCTTGGGGCTCAGATCCGAGAGGAAGAAGAGCCCCAGAGGAAAATTTTCTTCGCAAGAAAGAAGCCTCAGGGGCTGGAGGGGGAGGGGGGAGGGGAGAGGCATCTGTAAGTCATATAACAAACACCAGACCTCTCCATTTTATACCTCATTCCTTTGGTGGGGGTGAGGAGAGGAGGCATTCCTATTTGGGAAAGAGTGAAACTCAAATCATCCTGAACCCTGCACTTTTCCCATTAATTGTATGGACTTCGTGGTGCCTGGAGAACACGTGGACCTTTTTTAGAGGAAGTTCTATTTCTGGAAATGAGACTCCCTGGATTCATGAAACTCCCCTGTTTCTTGAGGGATTCCCTACTTTCCTGTACGGTGGGTTTTCTTTGCAAAGAGGAGGAGTCTTTTAGGGAGGTTCCGATAAATCTTATGAACAAATGAGTGAAGTGGGGTGTTTGAGGCAGCACAAGGCCCAGCCGCTGAGGGAGCGCCCAAGACCTTCGATCCTTTAGTCCTGAGCGGGTTCCGAGCCGCCGGCCGGCCGGGTGGCAGTCACCCTGCTCCGAAGCCAGGTGTTTCCAAAGGTCATCTACTTGGAATGACAGGTGCTGCTCTTTTGACTTCAGAAAGACAGCCAGGGAGGGAGGAAGGCTCCTTGGCTCCAGGGCTGATGTGGGTGGGTTAAGAAAGTGGAATTTTGGACAAGATCTATTACAGAGTTCTTTGTCTCTCTTAGAGCAAAGACAACAGAGAAGAATTTTAAAAGGCTGTCTTGGTCTCCAGAACCCCTCTGGAAGCAGATGGCATGTCAACAGGTTCCAGGGCAGGCCCCAGAGGCCCCAAATCTGGGAGCCTTATTGGAATGCAATTACCCTAAGTGCTGGCTGCTGGGATGAAAAGGCAGGAATGCAATTATGGAAGGAGCATGCCGCAAGCTTTCATTGATTAACCTGTCCTGTCTGATTCCATTCCCCACTGGAGTGATTTTGGGGCCCAGAAGGTTGCCCTGTGCCCTAGGGTTACGAGAAAGAGAAACAGTCCCTGCAGAAAGCACATGCCAAAAGCAGGGTTCATGAGCTTCAGGAGGGCCTGTGCGCCCCTGAAATTGCCTGGGAGATATGCATGTGCAAAATGCAAAGTGTGCATTTTCTGGGAAGCGACGCTCCGCTCATCACGTGCTTAGAGGGCCCTGCAGCCCCCAAAGGGTTAAGAAGCACCGGGTCAGGGGAGTGAAGAAAGATCAGTGGGGCTGTTAGAAGAGGCCTCCAGGAAAAGTTCCTTCAGTTTGCAACTCCAAGTGGCCATGATCCATCTGGGTGCAATTCTGCCTCTACCACTTGCCAGCAAGTCACTTAGCCTCTCAGTGCCTCAGTCTGGTCTGTAAAATGAAGGTAAAAAATCTACATCCTGGGGTTGCTGAGAGAATGAAATGACATAGAACTGCACAGCTCTTAGCCCCACATCTAGCCCTTAATAAGCCTGCAATAAATGGGAGCCTTTATTTTGATTATCTATTCAAGCTCAGAAAAATCAAGTCGAACTTCTGAGCTGTCTTTTGAACCCCCAACTCACAGTCTAGAGTCCCTGGGAATCCCCTGGCAAGACCCTCCTCCAAACTTGAGCGGGACCCTGAGACCCAGCATCTCCAGACACTGCCTCCTCAAACCCTCCCACCCAGGACACTTCTCCCCTGGAAGACACCTGGGAGCTCTTCTCTCCTGGCCACACCAGGAGACAAAAGCTTCTGGAACTGGGGCACATCAAGTGTCCGGGTAGTGCCAGCACAGTGGAGAGGTTATCTGGGCCTGAACGGGAGTTATCATCAGCCTGCCCCATCCAGAGAAGTTTCTGGAAATTTCAGTCACCAAAATCTTCCTGCCTGTTGAAATGATGCAGTCACACACTCGGTTGACATGGACTTCTCTATCCTAACAAGCTCTAGAATGAGACTAACCCAAGGCCCGGTATCTGTAGAATGTCTAGTGTGGGGCTACGAAAGGAAAAACCAAATCTCTCCTCTTTCCCCCTGCACGAAGCGTGTCTTTTATTCTCTGTATTTCTGACGCTTTGCTCTGTGGTCTTGCTGACACTGGATGGACTGTTTCTCCCAGCGTTAGCCAGTTCCTAGAGATAGTAAGAGACTCACCTGCTGGTACACCTTTTATATGCAAACCAAACAATTCAGAGTCCAAATCGTCAGCCACCTCCTTTATAAGTCTCTTACACTCCAAAGCGATATCCCCAGCCCTAGCCTCCCAGGACCAGGGTTCAGACAGCTAGGGACGGCCCCTGGGCACTAGAACCTGCTGAAATTATTCACACTAGCCAATCCTAAATCTGCTTACCCTGCCTGCCCATTCCTTGATGTGAAAGCCACAATAAAGGCTCTTGCCCAGGGGCTTCCCTGGTGGAGCAGTGGTTAAGAATCCGCCTGCCAGTGCAGGCGACACGGGCTCGAGCCCTAGTCTGGGAAGATCCCACATGCTGCAGAGCACCTAAGCCTGGGCGCCGCAACTACGGAGCCTGACCTCTAGAGCCTGCGAGCCACAACTACTGAGCCCGTGTGCCACAACTACTGAAGCCCACGTGCCTAGAGCCCGTGCTCTGCAACAAGAGAAGCCACCACAATGAGAAGCTCATGCACCGCAATGAAGAGTCGCTCCCGCTCGCCACAACTAGAGAAAGCCACCCCCCCGCGCAGCAACAAAGACCCAATGCGGCCAAAAATAAATTAATTAATTTTTTTAAAAAAGAGGGCTCTTGCCCACATTTCCCTTAATTCTCTCTGCCTCCTGACTGACCCTGGTGCTTCCCGGTGTGTCCCCCACCATGGTGTGGCTTGACCCTTTCTCTTGGGATGCTATGAGTATAACAAAGTATCTTTTCAATGACAATTGTTTCCTGATCCCCTGACCTGTTGGCCTCACCATACCTGAATAATAATAAAACCTACATTTTAAAACACCCTCTTTTCCCCACACCTTCCCCTCCCATGAGATCCTCAGAGCTCTCCTCCCTCAGAACCTACAGGCTGCCCCAGGCATCTTCCATCCCAGTCCCATTAGCTCTGGCCTCCTTCCCCCTGCCCACCCCTGCAGCCCCAGTTAGGGGCCACAGCCTCCACTGCCTCTGGGGACAGAAGCAGTGCAATCCCAGCTCCAGCAGGGGATTCTAGAGGCGATGGCCGTGGGACGGTCTTTATTCCTCGGTTCCCAAGAGAGACTGTACCCAAAGCGCAGAGAGGTGGCATGAGCTCTGAGCCATACACTGGTTTACTCATCCATCATTCGTCTATTCATCAATCATTCATCCCCCCATCAATCATTCATCTGCTTATTTATTCATTCCGTTTGTCTGTACCTCTTCCTCACTTCGCTTGCTGCAGATGCTGGCCCTCTCCTCCTTTGATCTGTCCCCTGTTTCTGTGGCAGCAGCTCAGCAGAGGCCTTCTGATGTCACTTTGTCAATTACCTGGATGAGAGGGTATCTCCCTCTCAGAGGAGCCTGAGACAACCAAAGGGACAGCGTAAAGCTGTCCCTGCCTGGAAGTGCCCTTCCATTGCAGGCTCCGGCCTCCTGGTCCATGGGTCAGTGGAGGGGTGGGGAGGGGCTGCAGAGGGATCTTCAGGGCCAAAAAAGAATAACGGTTTTAGACTTGCCTCACAGCTGCTTGAAAACCGCTTTTCTGGGGGGCAGGGGGCTGCAGGAGACTCAGCCTCCAGGCCTGGCTGTGAGGCCCGGGCTCAGCACTTTGCTGGGGTCCAGAGAGCATGGAATGGGGCAACCTGGGGCTAGAGTTTTAGAGGCCTAAGCTGCTAGCCTCCGACAAGCCTGGCAGCTTCCACCCACGCCACGCCCCCTCACCGCAGAAAGTCTCCTCTCAGCCAGCAGCCAGAGACCCTTTTACGTGAGTCAGATCATGTCCCGCTCTGCTCAAGTGGCCTCCATGGCCTCCCATTCACTCAGCACAGAAGCCCAGGCCCCAGAGGATCTGGTCCCACTCACATCTCACTTACTCCCTCTTTTCAGGCCCCCCTGGCCTTGTCCATCCTCAACTCACCTGCCACACTCTGACCTTAACACTTTTGCCCTAAGTTGTTTCCCGTCTTTTTCTCCGGAATACTCTTGACCCCTGGGGCGCTCTTGAAAGTGACTCACTTCTCATTTCTTCCAAGTCTTTGCTTAATTGGCACTTTCTCCAGGAGCCTACCCTGACCCATCATATTTAAAATTGCAAACCACACACACGCACACACACACACGCGCGTGCACACACCATTCTCAACCCCCTTACTCCTTGGCACTTATCACCTTCTAACACACTCTAGAATTTTCTGATTATTTCTACTGTTTCTTGTCTGTCTCCAAGGGCTGGAATGCAACCTCCAGGAGAGCAAGGAGTCTTTGTCTGTTTTCTTCACTGATGTATCCCAAGGGGGTACCCATGGATGCCTGGTACATAAGAGGAGCTCAGTAAAGCATTCTCTGGATGTAAGAATGAATGAATGACTGGGCTCTGGGAAGCTCCGAGAGTAAAGCTTGTGAAACCACAGACTGTGTAAGTTGGGGCTTCCTGGGGTCGAATTTAGAAGGTCCACACTGACCTCTAGCAGCTGTACAGAGGAGAAAGAAGCCGGGCAGCTCACCCACTGCCAGCCTTCTCAGGGAGAGAAGGTAGGCAGAGGCATCAGCGGGGATTGCGCTAACTCGAGATGCCAGCTCTGTGCCGCTCTGGGGCTGGCCCGTGCTCTGGATGTCATTAGCTGATTTGTTCTGCTCTGCAGAATGTACTTTTCGTATTTAGGCAGAAAAAAACAGCTTTCGGTCCTCGTGCCCTTTCTTCTGTGAGCTGTAGCACATGGCCTGCTTATTATGAATTAATCCTCTAAAGAGCATGTTCATTATTCTAATTTAATTGTGCGTCGTTTCAGAAAATAACTAAACCCAGCGCGGAATAAACTCCAACGCTGATCGGTTTTCAAGAAGTTAACCTAAGACAAAATACTGCTAGAGGGCAGCAGCAATTTGGAATCATTAAAGGGAACCCATGTAAATAATAAAAACAAAACTTATATGCAGAATTAAATTAAGGAATAGGAAATTAAATTTGTGAATCTGATCTCAAATTGAGGCCCTATATGCACAGGCTTACCCTGGCTTGGCTCTTTGCTCAGGAGGGTTGGGGCACGAAGGTTCTGCAGAGATTCCCAGCCCAGGGAAGTGGCGGACAGGAGCGAGCTCGCAGGCCTCCCCTCCTGGGTGACAGCGTGCCGTCCCGGGAAGAGGGATGTGGGCTGGAGGGGGAGAGAGGGGGTTTCCCTCCCACGGGGCCTCCTCGGAGGAAGATGAAAGCCACATCGTCACAGCTACATCTGGATGACTCCTGTCGAGCGCCGGTGACTGGCGGAGGAGAACCAACCGTCCCCAGCCAAGAGTCTGCACTGCGCGCTGGAGGATGCACAGGAAATGAGGCAGATGGATGCAGGCTGCTGCATCGAGATGCTGGGAGCCTTTTGCCCCAGGCAGAGCAGCCGCTCCAACCCCGCTCCACCCCTGTGGCCCGGGCACCCTCCCACAGGTAACCCAGCTCAGGACAGGGACTGGGGGACTTGCCCCCTGCCCTGGCAGCAGCCCCTAAGCAGAGTCCCGACATCTACCAACACCGTGGGAGCCCGGTTCCACACACGCGAGATGCAGATTCCAACATCGGACAAATAGTCCTCTTGGCAGGCAGGCAAAGAGGGAGAAGAGGAAGGGAGAGGAGTAGGGGACGGGAGAGAGCAGACTTGCAGACTGTAAGTTGTCTGAGAGTTAGGGGTACCAGGGGCCAAGTTTGCACCATGGCTCAGACTTCACTCTATAGTTCTCCGGGATTGTTAGACCTGTCCCAGGGGTGTCTTCTCTCCTTCTTCCTCCCACTCCCATCCCTACCCAGCTCTCTTCCTCTCGTCTGGCCCCCCACTTCTCCAAGTGGAAAGAGCCCAGCCTGCAGAGTCACAGCCTGGTTTGCGTCACAGTTCTTTCTCTTACTTGGTATTGGAGCTTGAGGGGGACTATCTCGCCTTTCTTCACCTCAGTTTCCTCTTGTGTAATAATAGTAATACCTGCTTCCTTGGTTTGTTACCAAGGAGTAAATGAGATAAAACACCTGGCCCAGAGAAGGCACACAGGCATTTCTGCCTTTTCATTTTCTGCTTCATCAGCTCAGGCCCACACACTCTACACAGAAATACACACATGTGCACACACGCAGGCTCCATCCTCGTCAAAAGCCTTAGGCTGTGTTTCCAGAACACCACAACTAGTCTTTTTAAAAATCCAGTCAACCAACTCCTTGCCTTGATTCACAAGGGCAAGCATTTAAACACACGGCCATATTCCAGAATCTGAGTGAAGTTTTCCATTTCTATCTTCATTTTCGGTACTACACAGACAAGTTAGTCACCTCAGACCCTTTTTTGAAACAAAGAGGGAGTGTAAGCAAAGAAAGCCCAAAAAACCACAAAATTATGCACGTAATTTAGGCCACAGTGATACTGATTGGTAAGTTCATTAAACAGTGATTGCACCTAAGAATACCAAACATGGAGATAACAAGGGCAGAAAAGGCTAAGAGTCCTCTTGAATTCCCTGGCTGTTTCCCCTGATCTTACTTTACTAACTGCTTATTAAAGACTGTGCTAGCTCTCTTGCCCATCCCATGATGTGTACCTATAAGTTAGGGCACCATGATCTACAGCAAATCTTGGCTCTCCCAGAATGAACTCAGAACCCCCATCAAAGAAAAATTATTCATGACGTCAGTTAAAGATGGTAAAGCAGATTTTATTCCGGATGCGGGGCTGCTGCTGAAATGAGTTCGTGTTAGTGGAGAGAGATTGGGCTCAATTCTGGGTACAGCAAGGAAAAGTGGGAATTTATAGCCAAGGAGCAGGGTGGGGATGAGTGGATAGAAAATTACTAAGAGGAGGCATCAGGGCTGGGGTGGGCGGAGTGGGGGGATTCTGGCTAAACTGACCTAGCAGGATTCTTGCTGAAGGCAGGCTACGGTGATCAGACACTACCTGGGGGACGGTGGGGGATGAGGAACACAATCAGGTGACAAGGGTGATCCGATCACCAGAGCAGAGGATTCTGACTAAACTGACAGCAGGATTCTTGCTAAACCTGGATCATGAAGAGATGAACACAGAAGCCCGAAGTTTAGGGCCTGATTGAGAAGAGAATTCAGAGGAGACCGAGTAGAGTTTGGTCAAGGAGAGGATCTTTGTCACCCTAGAGCAGCAGTGTGGCCAGATCCACGACCAGCGGAAGATCCCCCATCCGTGGAAAGGAAGCTGGAGAGCCAAGCTGGGCCTGAGGCTCCCAGAGACCAGGCTGGGTAACCTGAAGGTAAGGACAGGGGCAGAAGGCCACAGTGGTGGCCTGCACTTAAACCAAGGGGCACATGCTGCAAAATGACCCCTCGGCCCTTAAGAAAAAGCCACCCAGATCTCTTAGACGCACAAAACACATGGTACAAGAAAGCTTTCAAAGGGGCCTTGTCCCACAGGACCCACCTGAGGGGGGTTAATTCCGAGGCTGGCGTGAGCTTGGTTGGTTCAATGGTTTCTGTATTTTTGATCCTGGATGAAAACTTCTGCATCCAGTGGATGGACTTGTCTGCCCAGGAGGGCATCTGCGTGGGGACAGCCTCACCATGTGACCATGAAGTTCAAGTCATGTCTACCCAATAGAAGAGCTTCCAAGCTGGCTGCACCTTAAAGGGCCAGACTGGTTTCTCTCAACCAAGCAAACTCCCTCCCAAATAAAGTCCATATTGCTCGGCTTATGTGACCCACCCACACATAAAATCACCCATTATTGGATAATAATATTGCTGATAATACTAGCAATAATAGTCCACACTCATTGCGAGCTTGCTTCTTGTCAAACATTTGTTCTGAGTGCTTTGTAAGAATTCGCTTACTTAGGAGCTTCCCTGGTGGCGCAGTGGTTGAGAGTCCGCCTGCCGATGCAGGGGACGTGGGTTCGTGCCCCGGAGCGGGAGGATCCCACATGCCGCAGAGCGGCTGGGCCTGTGAGCCATGGCCGCTGAGCCTGCACGTCCGGAGCCTGTGCTCCGCAACGGGAGAGGCCACAACAGTGAGAGGCCCGCGTAGCGCAAAAAAAAAAAAAAAAAAAAAAAAAGAATTAGCTTACTTAATACTCACAACAACCAAATGAAATAGGTATTATTGTTCTCATTCTATAGATGAGGAAACTGAGACCCAGGGAAATCGAGCCACTTGCCCATTATAACAACAAAACATAGCAGTGCTGGGGTTTGAACCCATTTAAGAACCTTTGGAAGCTTAGCCATTTTTACTTATTAAAATAACCTTTTTACACACACATATACACACACACGTGTGCACACAAAGATTCTGGAGCCTCCCAACCACAATACAGTGCTTCCTGTTGGTCACCAGCTCCCCTGTCCACAAATCTATCCACAGTGACCCTAAATCTAGGCCACACAGTAAAGAGAGTACACTGGACCTTCAGTGACCCACATCTGGAAAGCAGGCCCATGTTTTCAAATGCCTTCACACCACTTTCTCCCCTGGTCCTCATGGCTGC